CCTACTCACCGCCAGCAAACGACTCCCGGTCTCCACCACCGTCCGCATCACATCCCCCACTGGTGTTCCCAGCACCACTGTCCTCACCACCGCTCCCCACTGGTTCCACCACCGCCCCTAGTGTCCCCACCAGTGGCCCCACCACTGTCGCACTGTCCCCGCTGTCCCCAGAACTGTTCCCACCACGGTTCCACCACTCTCCCCACTGTCTCCACGGCCCCAACCACTGCCCGACTATCCCCACTGTCCCGCCTGTCCCACTGACTCCTCCGCTGTCCCACTGAGCTGTCCCACTGTTCCCACCACTGTCCCCACTGTCCCCACCACTGTCCCCACTGTACCTCCGTCCCATTGTCCCACCGCCGTCCTCGCCACCGCCCTCACCACTGTCCCCACCACCATTGTACCCTCCACTGTCCCACTGTTTCCACCTCATTCCCATTGTCCCCACACCACTGTCCCCACCACCACCGTCACCACCACTGTCCACTGTCCCTCCCTGTTCCCACCATTGTCCCCACCACTGTCCCCACCACTACCGTCCCCACTACTGCCCCACTCCCCACTGTTCCCACCACTTCCCACCACGGTTCCACTCTCCCACTGTCTCCACGGACCCAACCACTGCCTATCCCCACTGTCCCCACTGTCCCACTGACTCCTCCGCTGTCCCACTGAGCTGTCCCACTGTCCCCACCACTGTCCCCACTGTCCCCACCACTGTCCCCACTGTACCTCTGTCCCATTGTCCCACCGCCGTCCTCGCCACCGCCTTTACCACTGTCCCCACCACCATTGTACACTCCACTATCCCACTGTTTCCACCTCATTGCCACTGTCCTCACCACCACTGTCCCCACCACCACCGTCCCCACCACTGTCCACTGTCCCCCCTGTTCCCACCATTGCCCCCACCACTGTCCCCACCATTGCCGTCCCCACCACTGTCCCACTGTCCCACGCTCCCCACCACTCTCCTGCTGTCCCCTCGCCACTGTCCCCACCAACAACCTCCCCACCACTGTCCCCCCTCGGTTTTCGAGGGGGGAGGGGGTGGGTTCGAACCGGTAGTGACCCCCCCCCTTTTTCATGATGAACTGGGGGGGGGAGGGGTTCGAACCGGTAGTGACCCCCCCCCGGTTTTCCGGAGGGGGGGGGGGGGAGGGGTTCGAACCGGTAGTGACCCCCCCCGGTTTTCCGCCAGCAGCGGTAGAACACGCTCTTTCCAACATTACCACTGTTATCATCGCCATCACAACCATCACAGGCATCACCATCATCATCACGCTCATCAGCAGCATGATAATCGATATCCTCGTCATCGTCAGCCGCATCGTCATAGTCATCAGTAGCACAACCAGCATCGCCACCGTCATCGTCATCATCACCACAAATATTATCACCACCATGGTCATCATGACAACGATTACCATCATTACCACCACCACCACCACCATCATCATCATCATCATCATTATCATCATCATCATCATCATCATCATCATCGTCATCGTCATCATCATCATCATCATCATCATCATCATCATCATCATCATCATCATCATCATCATCATCATCATCATCATCATCCTCATCATCGTTATCATCGTAATCACCATCATTGCGGTCATTGGCATCATCATGAACAACAACAGCATCAGCAATATCACATCGCAACCGCAATCAGCATCATCGTCATGATGGTGATCATGGTCATCATCAACACTTGCGTCTCTACCAACAGAACCAATACCAGCATCACCAGCATCACCACTACCATCAACAACATCATCATCGTCATCGTCACCATCGCCGCCGTCAGCATCACCCTCATCATCAGCAGCATCATAATTGCCACCGCCATCACGAATCCGCCGATCCGGCGTGTGAGTTTCTGAGAGCGTGGGCTTGAGCTCGCTCAAGTTTCGCTCTGTCCAGGGGGGGCTGACGCCATTCAGGCCCGGGAGGGAGGAGGGGGGGAATGGGGCTGACGCCATTCAGGCCCGGGAGGGAGGAGGGAGGGGGGGGAGGCTGACGCGACGTTTGCTTGGCACGAACTTCCCCTGACCCTCCAAAGGAGGACATCGTGCCAGCGGGGGGCCTGAACCCGCTCCACCGCCACGCGGGAGGCTGACCAACCCAAGACCCCCGACCGCGAACGGCCCCACGCCGACCTCGACGAGCAGCACGAAGCGGGCTCACCCGCGCAGCCAGCGCCTCCGCCGCGCGCCGGCGCCCGCCGGTGCAGGGCGCGTCGCGCCGCGACGTGCCCCTCGGAGAAGCCACGCGCCGCTCCAAGGGGCGGGAGCTGAAGGGGGGGCGAATGCAAGGAGGGTGATCAGAGAGATCAAGCCACAGACAGTCAGCATATTTGGCACAGCTGGGGAACGACACCCCCCTCTGTGGGAGCGGCACCAAGTACATAGTCACTGCTCGAAGGTCCTCTGAAGGGGCCCCAGGACACACACATAAATACACACGAATAAAACAAGATTCCCCATCTTTTCCCATATTTTCTGGGTTTCTGTCTTCCCCCCCACTTCCCATACTTTCCCATATTTTCTGGGGGATCCACGATTAATTGTGTCTGTGTGTTTCTTTTCCTCCTGATCCTCGTGTACAGCTCAACCTCGCAGACACGTGCTGCGGGCGCTCCACGACCGTTGGTCGCGTCACTCGCACAACGCCATGGCCATCCTCGGGCAGCGCGGGGCCGCGCTTCACAACCCGGGCGGCACGCACCTCGGCGCGCCGCGCGTTCTGACTTCTGGGGGCGGCGGGCGCCTGCGGGCAGCAAAGAGGATCTGGGCCTGCGCTCTGCTGCCGCCCAGGGCCCTCAAAGCACGACACGCGCCCAGGCGCGCCGCCCCAACGCCCCTCCGTGAGGCACCACCCCCAAGGATGTAAACCTGCCCCCACGCACGCCTGGGTGGGAGACCCAGGCCGTGGGAAGGATGGGTAGGGGGCGGCGAGGAGCAAGAGTATCTCCCCCAACTGCCTCTGCCGAACATCGTGCTTGCCCACGACGCTCGAAGAGGCACGAACGAGGTGACGACCAGGCTGATACCCGCCTGTTCACCTGGGAAGGGGACCCAGTGGCACAGGTACCGTGGATGGAACAAGGGAGCGGGAGGGGCCAGGCAGGGAGCGAGAGAGGGAGCTGATAGGAAGGGGCGCGGGAGGGAGCTGCAGGGAGAGGGAGCTGCAGGGAGAGGGAACGAACGGGAGAGAGAACTGACGGGAGAGGGAGCTGAATGGGGGGAGGGGAAAGGGAGGGGCAACAGAGGGAGGGGGACGGGGAGGAGGAACGGGGCAGAGAGCCGCGAGCGAGGAGCAGACAGAGGCGGAGGGCACGCTCGCGGCGACGACGGGCCGCAGAACGGCAGGTGGCACGCGCGAGCGCCCGGCCGCGCCGCCTTCACGCGCTTCTCCGAGGAGTCGTGCAAGGCGCAGTACCTCTTTTGGCAGCGACTCGACGCCCCCAGCCCTCCTCCCCTTCCTCCTCCTCCTCCTCCTCCTCCTCCTCCTCCTCCTC